TTCCAAAGCTTGTCAGCACATAGGTTTTGTAGGAGCAGAGACTGCCATTTGAACACCCCCTCCCCCCATAACCTATCTTAAATGCCCTATATACTGGACTATTAATTTGTTCTCTACTTGTTGGTCAATAAATCTGTAATAATGGTGCAAATTTGAACAGCTACAACAGGAGACACTGACAGCCCCATCTTAGATTAACTTCTAGACCACTATTTAAAGCACTCAAAGCTGGGAGATCTTAGTTGAGGTGTGCTCTGAAATCAGGCAGATCTTTAAACCCAAGTCACTGATATTTTGAGTATGTGCCCTAACCCCTATATTAGTGTTAGGAATAGCAGAAGCAGTATCTTGATCATCATCTTTTTTTTAGACACTTAGGCACAGAGTTCATGGGGTGGCAGTAGGAGCCAAGGTCCCTCTATGAGGCAGGGACCAAGTCACAGCCCCTTTCCCTGGCATTTTTTTAGTCACACTTGGATCCTCTGATATGCTTATTTCCACCCATGCATTGTACAAGGAGTCAAGGTTCCCCACAAAGGGTTGTAAATTCCACTAGATAGCAGGGTGGAATTTAGCATTGTAACACCCAGTCCCTCCTGTTAATCTGGAGCAAAAAGAATTTACAGTGTCCCTTTTCAGTCTTTGGTAAGATACAAAGGAAGAAAACCAGTATCAATCCTAGTCATTGTGCACCCATTCCTGCTGTGGTCAGCTGGCATTAGGAGCAGGATTTCATACTTAAATTAAAAAATGAGAAAGTAATCTGCTCGTTTCACTTGAGTAAAATCTTTAAAACCTGTGAAATCAAAGCAAGCCAGGATATACAGAGCTGCAGCAAATAGCGGCCCAGGACTACAGAAGTGCCCCAGCTGTTTGCTGTGACTTATTTCAAAGGGTACTGCTGGCATTTGAATTGAGAAGGTGGGGAGGGGGAAGGGAAGAAAAAAGAAGGGGGATGGAGGTCAATAGACGGGGTTTGAAGGACCCTGACTTCATCAACTTTTAAGAAAGAAGCCTGCAGCCTGTGGTCAGTCATAGGGATTTTTTTGTTCCTAGGGTTTGGCACAGTATCTCAGCCTGCAAACCTACAAAGCTATGCTGAAAGAGGGTGACTGCTGTTTTTGCCCCCTACATTATTTAAAAAAAAAAAGTTTGAAAAAGGTGAGTGTGTGGTGTTTGTAGAGTGTGTATCTGATTATTTTTTAAACAACTCCATGTGAACATTAATATTTTTATCTTTATTCATCCAACTGTTGTGGCTAATTATTCCATTATTCTGTTTGGCACCTGGCCATCTGAAAGTCTCCTTTTATTGTGAGCCTAAAGTCTCCTTTTGAAAAAAAAAAGCTGTCCTACTTTTGAGGTTGTCAGGCTCGGCAACTCCCTATCCCTGGCCTGTTGCTCCACGCACTTGTTTTAGACAAAATGGTAGTACAAGGACCTTGCCTTTTGACATCTCTAAATTCTATTTAGATACAAGTACAATAAAATCAGTGTAGACTGACAATTGAAAGAACTGGATGATGGGGAGTTGGATTACCAGATTTCACATCCAAGTAGAGGAAGCTCACAAACTGCTTTTTTGCTTGGTTACCCTACACAAAACAAAAAGAGAAGCGATGGCACCAGCAGTTAACTAAGTCTCATTAGAACCTTCACCTTGTGCTAGTTTTACTCCAGCATGGAGGAAGTGGCCCTGACACTGACATACAGATACAGTCAGATTAGTATCAGTATTACTTACACCACTAGTAGCATACAGTTTTCTTTAGCTTTCAATAATGCATCACTTACTCATCTAAAATTTAACATCTAGGTAGAAAATACAACTTCCCTCCAAAACATCCTAATTGCCCCCACCCCCTTTACCTCCCCCTTCATTGTCCACATGCAAAAGGACATTGCACACTTATAGGCAGGCGTCTACCAAAAAGCCTTTCAATGGCTGGGTCTGTTTTCTTCCCTCTCAGAGGTACCCATTGCTGGCTTTGGGGCCTAAAAACTGCCTTAAGGGGAGAAAACAGGTTAGTATGTATTGCATTCCTTCCTGCGGCTATGTCCCCCCATACAAATTGTTCTACTCTACATTACGATACAGCAACCCTTTTAAAATGAAGTATACCCAGCTTTGGAAGCTGAGGATTCCGTTCTCTGAGAGTTTTAAAACTCCTACATATAACAACTTTGTTAAACTATAAACCTAAACTTTACCCTATGTTACAGGCCAAAGTACTCTGCTAGTATCTGAGGAATGTGCAAAAAGGGCAATTTAACACCTTGCTTGAGTCAACTGCTTGATTTCTGAACGTGATCTCAGTTGTACTTGTGACTATTTTTTTAACCGCTTGACTTCATGTTCAGGGTTTGATGACTTTAGAACCTGGTGGCCTTCATGAGAGATAAAACCCGTTCACATAGGCAGCACTTAGTTCACTTTCTTTACTGATCTCAAAGATAAAAAGAAACTATAAACACATTCAGAAGTAATACACAAGGAATTCTAAAAATGATGAAGCATGTGTGTCATGGTAAAATGTTTTCTTTAAAAAAAACCCCCACAAAACAAACAAAAAAACACACTGCATGTAACTACCTTGTAACTTTCAATAGGAGAAACAGAGTGACATAATAGTGATGGTCCAGGAATTTGCAAAAGGCAAATTGGTCCAATTAAAAAAAATATTACCCTAAGAAATGCTTGCCTCTTTCAAAAAGGGAAATAGCAATTTTAGATTCTTTTGTTCTAAATTAGTGAGTTTAGAAAAGGGAGGGGCCAACATTTTCAGCTTGTATACCACAAAGTAAGCCCTACCCCTGCTCCTAGTGCCACTCCAATCCCCTTGCTCTCTGTTCTCTTCCCTTCCCAATCTGTTGCTCTGGCTCTCTCCTCCCTGCAAGATCTGCTGTATGGCAAACAAAGCAGCTGTGCATCACCTGTGACACATTGTGGGTTGGCTGCCTCTAGTTTAGGGCATTTACTTGCTTATAGGTTTTTACTTTTAAATAGGTGAAGGATATCTGGAACTATGGTTTTTTCCCCCAGTAGAACACACAGCATATTAGATGAACAGATTTTATTCATTCAAAGTAGTGTTGATTCAATAATTCCAAACATCTCAATTCTTAATATTAGTACTGAATTAACATTTCTGTTTTTATGAATGTTATTAACATTCTTAAAAGTTCTGGATCCTCCCAGAATTTTTAATTGTTGTTGATTTGTGCTGTTAAAGTTTTCAGCTCTGGTCAGCAACTCCCTTCATACCATTAACTTCAGCTTGAAAGTTCCCCGCTATTACTTGTTTCAGGGGTTCTTTTCCAAGAGAAGAGCCTTGGTCACTAAGCTCACACGCTGAAGCACTCATCTGAAACTGGTTCCAGGAAGTCTGCATGCAGACAGCTACAGACTAGGCTGAGACAGAAGGGAGGCTGCAGCAGCTAAGCGGTCAAAAACATTTACTTTATTACGTTCCATGACAATCATTAAAACTTCAGTAGGAAGCGTCTTCTAAAATCAATTATATATATATATATA